GGCTGCAGCTGGAGTACTGCATCCAGTTTCAGGCTCCACAATTCAAAAAAGATGTGGAGAAGCTTGAGAGAGTCCAGAGAAGAGCCACACGCATGATCAGAGGTCAGGAAAACAGACCTTAATGATGAGAGGCTGAGAGCTATGGGGCTCTTCAGCCTGGAAAAGTGCAGGCTCAGGGGGGATCTGATGGCCACCTATAAGTTTATAAGGGATGTTCTCCAGGATCTGGGGGAACATTTGTTCGCCAGAGTGCCCCAAGGGATGACAAGGTTGAACGGTTATAAACTCCTCCAAGACCGTTTCAGGCTGGACATAAGGAAGAACTTCACTGTCTGAGCCACCAAGGTCTGAAATAGCCTGCCATCAGAGGTGGTTCAAGCACCTACTTTGAATACCTTCAAGAGAAATTTGGATGTTCATCTTCCTGGGATCCTATGACCCCAGCTGACTTCCTGCCCCTGGGACAGGGGGCTGGACTAGATGATCTTACAAGGTCTCTTCCAGCCCTAATGTCTTTGAAATCTATGAAGGCTAATGGCATCCTGGATTGCATTGATAGGAGTGTTGCCAGTAGGTCAAGGGAAGTGATTATTCCCCTCTATTCAGCACTGGTGAGGTCACATCTGGAGTACTGTGTTCAGTTTTGGGCCCCTCACTGCAGAAAGGATGTGAACAAATTGGAGAGAGTCCAATGGAGGGCAGCAAAAATGGTGTGGGGGCTGGGGTGTATGCTAATGGCATCCTGGATTGCATTGATAGGAGTGTTGCCAGTAGGTCAAGGGAAGTGATTATTCCCCTCTATTCAGCACTGGTGAGGTCACATCTGGAGTACTGTGTTCAGTTTTGGGCCCCTCACTGCAGAAAGGATGTGAACAAATTGGAGAGAGTCCAATGGAGGGCAGCAAAAATGGTGTGGGGGCTGGGGTGTATGACTTCTGAGGAAAGACTGAAGGAACTGGGCTTATTTAGTCAAGAGAAGAGGAGACTAAGTGGGGATTTAATAGCAGCCTTCAACTACCTGAAGTGGGGGTTCAAAGGACGATGGAGCTAGACTGTTCTCAGTGGTGACAGATGACAGAACAAAGAGCAATGGTCTCAAGTTGCAGCAAGGGAAGTTTAGGTTAGATATTAGGAAGAATTTTCTCAGTAGGAGGGTAATAAAACACTGGAATATATTACCCAGAGAGGTGATGGAAGCTTCATCCTTGGAGGTTTTCAAAATCCTTCCAGACAAAGCTTTGGTTGGGATGATCTAGTTGGGGATGGTCCTGCTTTGAGCAGGGGATTGGACTAGATGACCTCCTGAGATCCCTTCCAATCCTAACTTTCTATGATTCTATAACCTACAAGCTGCCCCTCAATGGCTAGAGGGAGGCCACTAAATGTACAATAACTAACTCCGTCGGACAAATCATGATAAAATGGGGACATGTTATAGTTTAATAACTAGGATGCCAAGGGAGAACATTGAGCAGAGAACTCTGGCTAGCACCTACTGACCTTGAATGTATCTAAAGAGCCAGTGGACACTACGCAGTGCAAACTCTTGTCAGGCGTGCACAGACAAAAGAGCAGAAGACAGCTACATAGCCACCCAGGTTCCCTCCAGCCAGCACCTCCTTCCTGGTTTGGTAGATGGACAGCTTGGCCACAGACAGGAGGAAGTTGACTATAAGATCCTAGGACTTTGTAGTGCTGTGGATGTGGTGTGAATAAGATAAAAGCCTCAATAATTGGTTTTTGAGGAGGTAGCATAGGGGCATTCAAGATATGCATGTGCCAGTAGCTCCTTGGTCTGGGACAGAAGTTCCATAAACTGGTTTGACCTAACAGTTAAATGTCATACTACATCCAAACAGGTTTATCTTAAACCAGTTTTAGCCATTTTGTAAGTGGTTTAAGTGCACTGATCTTCTGTTTTGTTACAGGTTTAAACCAGTTTCTGATCATTTAAACCGGTTTATGTGTAACGTCCCTAGCCCTTCTGGCTACAGAAGGAACAGGTGTCAGGGGAATATATAATGTGCATCAGGTACATGCTTATGCTGAGCAATCTGTGAAGGAGCCACTAATCTAGATTCCCCAGTGGAATGTGGGACTAAGGTAGAATACAAACTGGTTCACCATCCTCGCTCTCAAACGTGTTCTGGCACTTGGTGTCTAGGTTAGACAAAAGGGCAGGGTGGTGAATGGTATGGAGCATAAGCATGTAGAAATGGGAGTGACAGGTTATCCAAAAATGGACTGGTTTGATGTCCCCCAGCTTGCTGAGATGGTGCAGTGGGGAGTATCAGAGGGGCCAGCAAGGCAATGATCCCACAACTAGCTTGCCCCCTTCGACCTGCAAAAAAAGTACCCACTGGCAAAAAACAAAGTCGGCACCTATGTAGTAGTTCCTAAGAAGAATCAGAGTGATGTTGCAGTTGTGATGATTCAGAAATTATGCGAGGCAAGGATTTCTTAGGGTGATATTTTTTTATCAGACCAATTATGTAGTTGGGATAAAGTTAGACAAGCTTCTGAATGCAAGACATTTTTCCTCAGGTCTTGTATTCAAAAGCTTGTCTAACTTTATTCCAACTACATAATTGGTCCTACGAAAAATATCACCCTAAGATAGCCTTGCCTCTAAGGATTTCTTGTTGTAAGGCATACAACAAGGCCACCACACAAACTATAATAAATACCACAGTTCATAAGATGATTGTGTACATTTGATAGACTAGAATGACCTTGAAAGAAGGGGGTGGTTTTTGTCATATGTTTTACCATTTTCTATGAAAGTTCAAAATAATCCAAATGCCTGGAAAGGTAATTTAATATTTGAACCGAATGTTGTGCTTAAGGTTCTGATTTACAATGCCAATAACTATGTAATTCATAACTAGTTCTCCTTGGTTCATATATTGTTTAATGATGTTCATGTCTATATGGCTCCCCTCCCAAAGCTGATATTAGCATGAAGTATGCTTTGACCTATATACTGTACTTTGCTTTCCAGAGTTTTCATCATCAGATTTCTGAGTGTAATTTTCTAGGAGAATAATTATTCATTTATTTATTTATAGGCTTCTTTGTGTGGTAGGTATATTAATTGGATGGAAACTATGGCATTTTTATGTTGAGCTTTAATATTTGAAAATGAAGTGCTGTGATCAATGTTTTTTTCTTTTTTAATCCCTTAATGTAATCATTACCATCATTCTTCTGTATATTTAAATGTCAAATGTGACTTGAGATTTCTTCATACATTGCAAGGTCTTGAACAATTGGCTTGATCTACTGATAGAAATTATATAAAATTGTTAATTTGACCCACACGTTACCATTAAATATAAGAGAAAAAATTAAATGCCCTGGCTCTGTCAAAGACAAAAGCACTTTTTATTGTGGAAGTAAATAATTAACAGTGTATTCATGTAATTTCTCCATGATATTCTTATTAACATAGATAATGCTTTCAGTGAATAGCACTGCTCCAGAGTCATTTGTGTTTTATATAAAACATGCATAATGCCATTTTTTGGTACTATGAAGACACCTTTCCCTGCTTACATAGTATTTGCTTCTAAAACGATTGCTTTAAATGAGTGCCATCTAGTGTCTAAAGGCTGCAATATGACTTGTGATTTATATAGTAGTAGATGAGAATTTTATTAGGTGTGGTTCAAAATAATTATTACATCATAATTCTACAGCAATTTGAACGGGAATAGTGTAATAGTAATAGAGGAAAAATGTCATTCTTGAACCGAGAATTAAGGAAAAATAATTATGTTCTATATAAAGACTGGATCCTTAATGTCAGCTATAAGTATATTACTATACTTAAATCAAGCCTTATCTTTAAAAAGATTCATGTATGTTACAGATACACACATACAGGATTCTTTAGGTGTATGGATTATTTTTGTCTGTGTTTGACCTTCAATGAATGACCTGACAGAATCTGGATTTAATTTATAATACAGAAATCAATGCTGTTTGTGGCCTGCATGAATATTCTGTGCTGGTCTCTTAATGATCTCAGAAAAACATGTGCCTTGTAGACCCAGCTGCTTAAAGGCACACACACAGAGTTTTAGAAAATTCATGGGAATACTGTGAGAGCTCTATGAGTTAAGTATTTGTTGATTTTTTTTTTCTTTTTTCTTTTTTTTTTTAGAGTCCCCACTGTTGTGATAGCTACTTGCTCATTTACACATTTAAAAAAAATCCTAAATAGTAAATTGACTTAAGCTACTCAGACTTGCTTTAAGAAAACCAGTGTCTTTTAGTCAGGAATAAACAAAAATGGACCAAAGCTATAATACAAATAAAATGTAAATATCAGAATATCAAAATCACATATATGGAAGAAGTAGCCATATTACTGTAATTTATGTAGCGTACTAAGTCCTGTTGCTTCAGGGGAAGAAATCATTTTGAAAGATTAGGAGATAAATAGGAAATTAAATGTGTCTAGACCTAACTGGATTTCTAACAGCTTAGTTTTCTTCCTTTCCAGTTTACGATTGGTTTGTTTTTTCTTTCTTAGATGAGGGCTAGTGTATATCCTAAAGCTGTGAGGGTGATCCTTTGCTCAACTAGCACATCACTTCCCTAGCTGAGAATAGAGTAGTTCAAATGTAAAGTGGGTGGATTAATAGAGTGAGTCTTCCATTAGTATGTCCTGCTGTGAAATTGCATGTATGTGGGCAGACCTATTTGTATGCAGTGACAGAATTGAGGGTTTAGGTTTTGGAGGGCTGAGCTTGAAGGGGGCTCATTAATGAAGTGTAAGATATGTGCATACACGTATTTATGTGTATTTACCCACTCTGTTTTGTGGTACTGCGGTTCCCACCTTGCCATTTGAACAGCACAGGTTTAAAACATTTGAGCTCAGTTCTTTTCCAACAAGTGGAATGATCATCATTTCAAACTGTATATGGGCACAAGGTTTTTAAAAATCTTTTACTTATTACTAATTATTACCGTTATTCTGATTTCTATTTCAGGAACTTTAAATTGGAAGATGAAAGGCAGTGTTACCGAGGAACAGCTCTATTTGGACTTCTCCCATCAATATGAAGATTGCATCTTTCCTCTTCATTCATCTGTAGCCTTATTTTTGCTCTCCTACTGTGACTGCAAATTATTCAAAGTTTTCTTAGTGCCTGCTGGTGAAAGTGCAGATGACCAGCTTGAGGGCAAAGCATTGCCTAGTGATCCCAAGCTGCACTTCACCTCAAGGTGTCAGCTTCCTTTAGTAGTCCAGAACTGCTGTTTGCCTGCTATTGTGGGGAAAGATGGCAAATTCTGTCGAGCTGGTCTTGCTGTTGTGCTGAGGCACATAGTACAGAAAATATTTGAGGCCAACCCATCAAATAAGGAAGCTTTAGAACTTTTGGGATTTAAAAAAACCTGCTTAAAAGCCTGTGCTGAAGTGAGTGCACCCTTTTCTGTTAGATATATTAATTCTTTTACAGTACAAAAAGTAATATCTTAAATTGGGTTTCAATGTGGATGTCAGCTGGAGTGTCCAATTAGGAAATTTTACCATGTTATTTCCTAATTAGTCCAATAAGACTCTTTTGATTCTGGCATAAATATGAGCTGGGAAAACAAGCAGGGAAAGGAAAAAGAGGCTTGTATATTTAAGTAATATTAAGATGAAAACTATGGGTTGGGGCAAAGTGTACTTTCACTGATAAGAGTGACGGTATGCTGATTTAGACTAGTTGGGAGTCTGTTGCTGTCTGTTTAAAAAGGAAATTCAGTTTACTTTTAATCTGCCAATATCAGATTTCAGCATGTCCTTGTGAGAACTGTTATCACTTCTTCTGAATCAAATGAAAATACAAATTTCTTATACAAGCATTCAAGATGACACCAATTGTAAACTAAATGTAGAACCTTGGACTCAGGTTCTAGAGGGTGTGTAGAAGAGAAAATATTTAAAGTCCAATCAAATAGCATAAGTCCACAAAGCTATGGTCTACTCCTGCTTAAAAAGGACTGACAGAAATTCTGAAAGGAATCTAAAGGAAGCTAGAACACTACTATGAGCAACTGGAGCCTGTGGGGATTGGGAGGGTGGAGGGTGAGGGATGAGGAAGAAGATCCTTAAGTAATCTAGGTCAGGGAATAACTTCCAATGTAAACTCTGCTCCTTACTTCTGAATCATGAAGCTCTCTAATGCACTTTAGGAAGTCTAGATCATTCATTATTTGCTTCATCTGCACCACATGATTGAAAAGCTATTTTACTTAATCACCACTGTGTAAAATACCTTCTTAATTTTCTCCCATGTATGTTCTTTCATACTATTTATGTCATGTAATTGCGGTCTGTTCAGTTATTTCAGATATGGTTTAATTGAAGAACAACTCTTAACTATGGTCCTGTAACAAGAGGGTGTACTGAACAGTGGGCGCCTCCATATGAGATGTTTTACTGCACATTAGTCTAATCTAATGCATAGTAAAGCATCATCGTTTACACGTGCTGGACTTACCATGCATTAAATTAGTTTAACGCATCGTTTGCTAATACCAACATATACAGGTATTAGATCAACTATGCATTAGGTAATGCGCAGTAACAGATGTATAGATGCTGACTGGGAGCAATTTTGCTTCTGGTTAGCACAGGCAGCAGTGGGCCACTTCTGCCTGGTTAAACCCCCATGGCGGGGGAGCTGTGCTGGCTGCAGGGGTAGCTGGCTTCTGCCCCATGCACATTGGGAGCAACCCCTGTACCCCCTGTCAACCCCTGGGCAATATCTATCATTCTTATTTTTCCTCAAATACACAGAGAGGTGGCTCCCACTGTAAATGCTTGTTAGCATCAGGTTCAGTATGATTATTTTTTTAGGATGAGGTTTTTGTTGAACTCAGTGCTCTGGTGCCATTTTCAGCCTGTAACTACATGGTCCAGATGACTTAGCTCAGAACAGTCTTCAACAGCTTATCTCCCCTTTCACCATGTCCTTTTCTACTATGTGGTTTTCCCACCAATGTTGGGTTTTTCTGGGTGCTGCAAAGTATACCATGGTTTAGACTAACCTGCAAAGATTGAATCAATTTATGCTCAGTCTTTTGAATGTCTCTCCCTAGCCTTAAAGGTGCGATGGGATCTGATCCCAACAATTGTGCCTTCTCCCATATCACACGTTCATGGCAGGAGGCATGATTGTGGAATCAGGAATCAGATCCCTGCCACACCATATTGCCAGGGTAGGGGGAAGCCAGGATTACAATCATGATCTTGGGCATGTCCTGCATCAGCAAGTTGGGTGCCCAAGAATCAGCTGATTGTCAGCAGATAGGAACTGCCCCAGGGCTCAAGTCCTAGGACAGACAATATCTGCTGCCAACTGGCAGGGACCACCCTAGAGCTTGAACCCTAGGCAATCCCTTCATGGCATTCCAAACATTCAAGTTATAGCACCATACAAACCAGACTTCAACGATATTACAGTAAAAGCTCTGTTATCTGGTATCCCCTGGGAACGGGGGATGCCAGATAACAAAATATGTCTGTTAATTGAGTGGCCCTGACTGTCGCTTCTCATGCTGTGTCTGGGGCATCCCTCTGCCCCTTCCGCTGCATAGCCGCCCCTCCCGCAGGCCCTGTGGGCCCCGTGGGACAGGGAGGCGGGCCCCGCACAGCCTGTTATGCCCTTGGTCCGTGGGGGCTTGGCAGCACAGGCTGCTTTGCTCTGAGCCATGGGGGCTCGGAGAAACTGGAAGTGCCACGGTGGGCACTTCTGGTTTCACTTTATCTTATAAACCGGAAGTTAGTGGAGCCAGTTAGTGGAGCATGCCGGCTTGTAAGATGCCAGATAACAGAACTTTTACTCTACATGTTTTTCAAGTAATATCTTTGTAGTTGGCTTGTGATTTTGTGGCACCATAACTTCTGTGAACGTGTGGCCAGTTGATATTTCTGGCGCAATTAACACCAATTAATTGTGCCAGAAAAAATGCTTGCCAGATTGTTTTTTCAGGTTCTTGGCAGGTACAGGCAGATGACATTTCATGGGCTTATACAAGTGATTCTCAACCCCATCGGACTCAAGGCAACCCTTGTTAGATTCAAGGCACACTGTGTCCAAGGCACTCCTTTGTTTCACTTATTTTTGACTATGGAAAAAGAATGCAGCAATTCTTCTGTTGCAGAGAACTCAGAAAGACCATGACAGGTCAGAATATTTATAACCCTATGGATTCCTATTTGAAATCTCTGGGTTTATCTTGTGAATCATGTTTGTATACTTAACAGGGCTGATGATGTGTGGCACTGCATAGCACCTTTAGAACAACATTGTAGCACCCCAAGGGGCTGTGGCATCCTTGTAGAGAATCATTGGTTTGCACTGAAGTTTCTGAGGCTTTCTCTACAGCTTTAAAGTGTAGAAGCATAGGCCCAAATCCTATTCCCCTTTGCGTGGTTAAGAGGCCCTTATGCAGCTAACTTTAGCTGTGTAGTTGACAATTTAGGGCATTATTACATGTGCTCTGGGTGGTGTGGGGGCTCTTTAATTAATGTGGCTTCAAGGGCACCTATACACAAGACGAAGCTCTGCTATGACTAGTGCTAATTAGCATGCCTTGGAGCAGACTCAGTTAATAGAGCCTGCTGCGAGTCTGCTGGATCGTGCTAATTAATGTGCTTCAGCAGCCTTTGCGTGATGTGTATTCAACATCCCTGCATTTCAAAATGGTGGTGGAGGCGCTTTAACTAAAGCTCGTCAAATGAGCTTTAGTTAAAGTAACCCTGCCACCATTTTGAAGCATGGGACACTGAATACATGTGATGCTCTCAGAGCCACTCTAATTAAAGCTCCCAGAGTGTCATGTGTATCAGTGTCCCCACACTGAAAAATGGTGGCAGGGGCACTTTAACTAAAGCTCGTTCAACAAGCTTTAGTTTAAAGTGTCCCTGCAGCCCTTTTTCAGCATGGCGATACTGATGCATATGATGGTGGAGTTTGCTGGAGCATGGTAATTACCAGGCTCGAGCAGACTTGATTAATTGAGCCTGCTCTGATGCATTGCAATTACAATGTGACGGAGCAGCCTCCCTGCATGTGTATAGGCACCCTTATGTTATAGATCCTGCAAGCTTCACTGCAACTTATTTTGACCTTGTTATCGTGCTTACTGAGACAAACTACTTTTGGCTTGTTTTCCTTAGGAGTTTGGTTTTTAAATCACTTAGGCATATTTGAATGCTCCTGTGAATCCCGGATTTATTAGAGTTTCTTTTCAGGTGTAAACCATGCACTAATGTCCTCATCTGTTTAGGCTGCTGTAATTCCTTCAAAATTAAAACAGTGTAAAACTGTAGTAGCACAGTGATGAATCAGTTCTTGTGGACTGTGGAGAAATATGTGCAGAGGTTGCATGTATTTTAAATCTGTTCACATATATAGCTAGTAATTTAGGAGTTTAAAAGATTTTTGCATTTAAAAATCATTTCAGTTAACCTTTAATTTTAATACATCTTAAATATGTATGCTCCTAAAATTTGGTATTTTAAGATGTCATGAAACTTAAGTGACCACCGTAGGGACCAACAAAAATTAGTTACCTAGGAGAAAAGATCTTTAACTAAAGGGCAAACCAAATCGTGCTGGAAATACTAAGATTTTTTTTAAACTGCTCTCTAAAGAAATGGACTTGTCTGTTAAAGATAGTACTTGTTTCAGGTTTGGTTAATGAACTCGTACTTCCTAATTATGAACGCTGCTAACTATTACTATTTCAGGAGTATAAGCTGCTTCCAATATATGTGTAAACAAGAAGCGTTGAATGGTTTTCACCCTTATTTAAAATGTAATGTTTTTATTTACTAGCAAGTCATTTAAAAATTGGATTTAACTGAATTAATGTTTGAGATACTTTTGAACACCAAACCAAACCAGGACATAGTCAGGGAATGTGTTGTCTTCATCATAAAACTCAAGTAATTCCTGAGTCTGCAGTTTTCTCCCATTGTCAATTTTTTAAAATATTGTGTGAACAATTTCCGTGAAAATCCATAGTATCTATGGGAAAATTAATTATTATCTGAAAAAGAGGTGCACTGATACATTGGTTTGATGTCGGATCAGTACCAATATAAAGAAAATTGGCTGTATTGGAAACCAGCCTGATGGGGCCAATAATTTGGCCGATAAATGCCCGTGTTACGTGCAGCTGCAGCACAGCACTCGGGCAGCGAGGAGCAGAGCCGGTATCTTGAAGAGCTACTTACTTCCAGCTGGTAAATCTGGTATGGGGCTCTTCTTGCCAGGGGCTGGGCTCAGAGCAGATGCTGGTGATGCTGGGAGGGGCCTGCAGCCACCCCAGATTTCGCTGCAGCTCCATTCCCAGCGCTGCTGCCACCAGCCACCTGGCTCAGTCCCAGCTCTTCCCAGCATGTGGCTTTTCAATGCTCAATGCCCCGCCTTTACCCATGTTCTGGGAAGAGCTGGGACTGCGCTGGACGGCTGGTGGTGGCGGCACTGGGAGTGTAGCTGCGGCAAAATTTGGGGTGGCTGCAGCCCCCTCCCAGTGCCACCAGTGCCCTCTCACTGCCTTCCTCAGGCCCCTTCCCTCCCCTTCCACCACACAAATTTATCAGTTGGAGGCAGCTGTATCAGAAATCAGATCGGTATAGGCTGATATGCCTCCATAAATATCGGGTATCGGTATCGGCTCCCAAAATCTCTATTGATGTACCCCAATCTGAAATTATACAACTAATATAGTGTAAGTGGGCGGAATTGTGATATGGGTTATACCATTACATTTAGGGAGATTATAATTTTACCTCTCCCAGTCCCCCCCAAAATGACAGAATTGAACTGAAAATCATTTCTATGCAAGTTAATTTGATGGGATTGATTCTGGATTATTGTACCAGTCAAGTAAATTGAACAAGAGGGTAAAGTAGAGTCTGAATGATAACTTAAAAATATTTAAGTAGAAATAAAGGAAAAGAGATTTAGAAAAAATAAACTTTAAATAGTTAAGATAAAAACTTGGACTTACTGATAACACATAACAAGAAAGCCATGCCAACTTTGTTTAAAAAGATTTCTAAAAATGCTTTTAGAGAAAAACAAAATAGCATGTACCACATTCATAGATGGGATAGGATTCTAGTTTTGTTAACACTTATTTGGGATGACATACATCACTTATTCATAGCTTTTACTTCTCATGAAGTATGCAGTGATCCTAGATTGCCGTCAGTAAAAAATAAAAAATTAACAAACTTTTAAACATACCAGGTACCATTTATTTATTACTTTGGCATATACAATTTAATATCTTGAATGAAATACTGTTACATCATTAGCAATATCAATATTTTACCCTGGCAGATATTGTGCTTTTACCATATACATCCATCAATTTTTGGTAGGAAAACAACATATATATATTCCTTACATAGTAAGGAAATTGAGAGGTCAAATTCCACCCGATTTACGTAAGTAATATAGAATGCATGTGTTTTGCGAGTTTGTAAGATAATTGCAGTATATCTTTAAAGGTGGAAGTTGCACTTTTTTGGAGAAACTTTTCAGATAGTCCTAACAATTCTAATGAGAACATGCTTATTTAAATCTGTCTGCTAGGTTAGCCAGTGGACCAGACTTTGTGAAATCAGCATCCCTCTGGCTGTTGAGAGCTTTTTGAGTGCATCTCCTGATCAGTGTCAGACCATTCCACCTGAGGTTTTGCAGCTTGAGAAAAAGCTTGGAGAACCTGTCAGGGTGCACAATGATGACAAAATCCGAAGGCAGAAACTGCAGCAGCAAAATACAGCTGACAACACTGCTTTGCTGCCTGCATTTGCAATGAGAAGCACAGAAGAAGGAATAATAGAAGAAAAGCAGGCTCAAACACTCGCAAGCTTGGAACTGAGAGTGGCTTTCTCCAAATTAACTGTACAGGAAGTACCAGCTACAACCAACAGGGAGCCCCCTCTCATCAGGAAAACAAAAACCTCTGACCTCCCACCCTTGGAGCATATTTTTGCTGAAGGGCTTTATTTTACCCTGGCAGACCTTGTGCTTTTACCATGCATCCATCAATTCCTGGTAAGAAAACAGCTTATATATATTACATAGTGTAAATTTCTTTTAGAAACTGAAAGGTTATAAAAGCATTTTGCCTTAACACATGTAGAGGTCAAACGAAGTGTGTTGTGCAATCCCTCAAAATGGGAAAACTGTTTTGTTACCTTATTTTTTTGTATGCATAACATGGGAAATATACTATACTATGTATCTATACTTTGAGTTAAATATACAATAGTGATCACACAGCTGTTGATATGCTCCAAATAATTCTTGCCTATTTATTATGTATTTATTGAAATACATTTATGTCACACACTGGCTCTCCAAAGGTGTGTTTTATTTAAACATTTTCTTCCCCCTAATACTTACCTTAGCTATTTCTGTTTGCACTGTATATATCTTGATACATGGCTGGCTTGGCTAAAGCAGAGTAGAGCTTGACTTCCATTACTTTTCACATTAGAAATTCAGAAGAGTGTTGTATCCAACCTCAAAAAGCATTGCATCCAAAACAGTAGCCGCTACCATACCTGAGACAAATACCAAGGTTTGTGGGGAGAGGGGATTGAAGAAGCAGTAGGTAGGAGATCTGTTATGGTCTAGTATGTCGGGATGCAACAAGTGATTAGAACCATGTAGAAGAAGAAGATTTCTAATCTGGGAAGGGGCGTGGAACAGAGTCCATCTGAAAAAGTTAATCTGGAACATCTGAAAAAGTTAATTCCTGTCTAAGTAATTTGTTAAACTGGATTTAAGGTAATAAGTATCAGTTACTTTAGAAATGAAAAGCCCTTAGGAGGGTATTGCATTTTTCTCACTTTGTAAATCCAAAGTTAAGATTACATTTAGATAGGGCTACCATATTTCCAGGTCCAAAAAAGACGACACCTGTCACAAAGTGGGTGGGGAGGAGGAATATGATGGAGGGGCAGTGACATGCCGGTGCCCTGCCCATTCTGTTGCCCCTCCCTGACAAGCCACACCCATCCCTAGCCCTGCTGCTGCCCCTCACTCTGGATCCACTGACCCCAGCTCTGCCAGGGCTCCTCACCCCCAAACAGCAGTATCCTGCCCCCACCCCTTGCTGGTGCCCCTCATTCCTGACCTGCAGCCCCCTGGCACTGCCAGTGCCCTGCACACCCAACCCACAGTCACCCATCCTGTCCCCCGTACCCCTCACTCCTGATCCACAGTCTCTTGCCCCCCTCCCAGCCCTGGCAGTGCCCCTCACTCCTGACCCACAGCCCCCTGCCTCTAGCCCTGCTGGTGCCTCTCACTCCCAACCTGCAGCCCACTGCCCCCCAGCCCTGCCAGTGCCCCTTGCTTCCGAACAGCCCTGCTGGTGCCCCTCACTCCCGCCCTGCAGCTCCTGCCTCTCCCCCCCTCCACCGCCCTGCTGCCCAAACAGCTACCGCATTGCGTGCAAGCCTGCTTGCTCTTACTTACTTGCAGACACATACTCTTTCTCTCTAGCTTGCCGGAGCCAGTGCAGAGAGCACGTGACCCCCAGCTGCCAATCAGCTTGCCTGCTGCTCCCAACCAGTGCAGGAGAGCAGAAAACTGGAATATTTGCTCTTATTTTAAAAACCCACCTGGATGCAGCACAGGGGCCAAAAAAGCGGAAATGTCTGGGGAAACCTGAACGTATGGTAACCCTAGCTTAGTCCACTGCAGGCACACAGCCACATAAAAAAATTAATTATTCAATTGTATGGAAATATGACCTACATAATTTCATATTGGGCACATCTACACCTGTCATTAATTTGCAGCAATAAACTGCGGAGCTTATTCCATACAATTGAATAATTCATTTTTTATGTGCCTGTGTGCTGTGACTGCTGTGAACTGGGCATAATCTTAACATTGGATTTACGAAGTGGGAAAACTGCAATACCCTCCTAAGGGCTTTTCATCTCTAAAGCTTATTGCTTTGCAGTTATTGCTCCCTGGAAGCTCTCGGGCAGGTGTTTTACACATGTGCCCAGATCACTGCATGCTCAGCCAAGTTGCAGCAGCCCTGGCTGGCAGGAAGACCCGGGGGGTCACCCTGCCAGCCCAAGGCTCCTCTGACTGGGCTCAATGTGTTGCGGATGAGCTGACTAGGGCACCCTGGCTGAGGTGTTTCAATGTAGAGGCTGCCTGCTGGTTAGATACTGGGTCAGCATCTACATGTGCACTGCTGCCTTATTAGTTTTGTGCATCTTAATAGGGGTGCACGTGTAGATGTTGAGATATTTACTGCACAGTAAATTAGTCAACTGCGTAGTAAACGTATTTTGTAGATGCACTCGTGTTACAAGCTTCAGAATACTGGGAAACTGTGATAGAGATGCACATCTTTATCAAATCTGTCTCTTTTACACTGGCTGATAACTGACTGGTACAGGAACTAATTCCTGCCTTTTTTCAACTGAGGCACAACTGAGAGAAAAAGACAAGTCTCTGTCTTTCCTGGCAGTGACCATATTCAGTGGTCATATGGGGCAATTCTCCAAACATATTAGCATTTAGCATTTGTTCTAAGGCAAGTAGTCAAGTTTTAGTAGGGTAAAAAAACCTGAGAGCTAGAATCAACCTTTTTCTCAGTATAGATAGAAGATGATAACTTGTAGCTCAATTCCAGCTAATAGAATTGTAGTCTAGTCTCAAGTCAAATATACTCCCTTTGTAAAGCTGTTCTTGTGCTTTACAATTTGAATTCTATCATAAGGTTCAGTGTTTAGGGGGAGAGGGAAATAAAATGACTTGACAAAATTAGATGCCAGAATAAAGATTTCTTTTATGATAGATAGCTTTTTAATGAACACGCTCTTAATGAAAGTGCATTGTAACGTGGGTAAAACAGAAGTATGTATGCGTGAGAAAGTCACAGCAGACATTTTTGTATGTGATAATTCTGGTACAGCATATTGGTGGAGTAAGGCAAAGTGTGATCTTATCCATCTTTGGTGTTTCTCGTTTTATGACTGTTACCCTGCACTGTAACATTTTTGAAAGCTAAAACACGAATCTATGTGTGATCCTATCAGAACATGGATAGGCATGCCTAAAAGCAAATAAATGTCTCCTAGAAAAGTGAGAATGCTTTTATGGAGGAAATGAATGGAAAGGAATGCAGAGACAACAATGGCATTTTAGAAAGATAACACCTTGTCTTCTATTTCATACAGCAGAACTGAAATGTTATTGAAGTGTCAGCCAATGGCAGACTTCCACAAAACCTGGCAGTGTTAGTGATTCACTGCTTGAGGTATCTAATTTCTGGAGTTTACTTCTTAGATAGTTTTTTGTCTATAAATATTTTCATTTGAGCACTTGATAAACTTTTGACTTCTGTCTTCAAGATTGTTTTTGTTCTCTTTTTCTAATTTTTTTTATCTAATTTTTCTTTTTCTTCTACTACAAACTTTGTTGGTTACTTTTGGTAGATTTCTTTTGGCTTTTTACTAGAGATGCTAGTGCTGGCTTGTTGCCTGCGCTCTTGCAGCAAGAGCACTGAAACAATGTTATAGATAGAAGGCCATGAGATATAAGAGGTGGAGTTTTTTGTTTTTGTTTCTTGGGGGTGGGGGTTGCAAAAATTTAGCTCATTTAGACATCAGTGCAAGTCACTCTTAACACCTATACAGTTTGTCCATGCTTGGATTTTGTATTGGTGTAACTACACTGGTTCTTAAAACAGGGCAGATGAGGCCTAAAAGACAGAGAGGCTTTTAAAAAGGTAACAGCCCAGTTTTGTTGAATGGAGGCAATGTTGTAGGCAGCCAGAAATTCAATCAATTAAAACATCCACATTAATATTAACTTTTTTTTTTTTTTTTTGGAGAAGTTGGAGGTTGTGTTGTGAGAGAGGTGTGCTCTGTTGTGCAGAAGCAATTGAGAGCTCTTCTACCTTAAACTATGTATGTTGAAGGAGCAACAGAAAGTATCGTGCATGCCTCTGCTCTCTGCTTTACTACCAAGTTCCACTGGCTCCTGCTGACCATTGAACAAAGATCATCCATTTAGGACCTTTCCCAATTATGATTGCTCCTTCACATCTCCCTGCCATATTGATGGTTCAGCAACACAGCAGGGAAAGCAGTATAAACAAGCTCAATAGTGTACATTAGGTGTGCATGACTATGTCATTCTGGTTGTAGAAACATTGCCATTTTAGTTCTGTTTTCATTTTAGGTATAAGATAACAAAATACAGCATCTGGGAAACATTTTTTAGTTCACACCCTTGGGAGGGGACATAGTATTGTGTGTGGGCATGTATATGTAAGTGTGCAGGGATAGGCTGAATTGGTGAGAGCTGGTGCTGGTTTCTTCAGTAGGTTTAGGAAAGATCAAGGGATTAATAGAGAGAAATGTGAAAAGGAGCTGCATCCTTTGCTCCTTTGTTTCTTCCAGATTCATAGAGCTGGGAATCCATGGCATCCCTTTCCCTGCTTGCACTATTGAGACTGTGCTTTTGTATAGATACTAGTTCACTCCTGTGCTTATTTTCAAAGTGGGTCCTCAGGGCAAATTCAAGAACTCCTTAGTTTTACTGTGTACTGAACAAAGCTCCATTTGAATTACTAGACCACAAGTGGAACTGCCTTTTGCTTATGGTGGCAGCATTTTGAGAAGTTCTGTTAGTTAGTACAGGGGTGTAGGTTGTAGCCGTGCCAGTCTAAGGACATAGGCAGACAAGGTTCTTTGGGTGAATCTGATATCTTTTATTAGACCAACTTAAATAGTTGGAAAACATTTTTTAGCAAGCTTTCAGGTTTAAAAACCCTTCATCAGGCTGAGGAAGCCTCTGCAGTTAGTTAGTTAGTTAGTACATCTTTTGGGGCAAATTCCTGGTAATTTCTCAGAGACCAGTCAGGGCAACCTTTCTGGCATGTGCGCCACAAATTAGCCTCATGTATTCCCTAGTACCACTCCACTTCCCTTCCCCTTCTGCTCTGCTCTCTGCTTCCTGGGATGTGCACCCTGTCTGATTTGCTATTCTGATTATATACATTTCCTATTTATCACTCT